CTTGATCTTTGAGGTCAGTGTATCAATTGGACAACTTGAAACCACTTACAGTGTTAGCTTTTGTAAACAGTTTAAGAAGTGATACACAGTACAACTTTTTGGGTGATGGCAAAAACCTCTTTAGGTGTTACTTCTTTAATTCCACAGGGACATATTGTTCTAAGGGTACACAACCTTTTTGCTTCAGAAATTCTCTATTTCACCATCATGTACCATGCTTTAATTTTTATTTTATTTTATTTCAAGAATTACACCCTAATTACAATGTGTATTTGAAGGGACAAGCAAGAAAAAAAAGACTCCACCGGTTGTTGTAGCAGGGGAACCCACAGCCCTGCTTGAGGGCATGTGAACATATGCCATGCTTTGCTATATCTCTTGGCACAGACATATTTCTCCATTTCCTTAATTCTCATTTTGTGTGACTGCCAAATATAGCTTCTGCTCCACCAGGCTAAAGTAACTGGGTCACTAGAGCTGTGAATAATTAGCTGACAACAAAATATGTTTCTGCTTTATGGTGCCAGAAGGCTGTAAATTAGAGTGCAATAGTAATATTAATGTAATAAAATAGGGCAGGATTTGACGATGAGTGCGAAAGGTCAAAGGTCAAAAGTGAAACGCAAACATATGGAGGAGCATTTATGTAATGTGCAGGTTTGATCCATTAAATAAAAAATATACATGAGGCCAAGCTGGCTATTTATATCATCAAGTTGTCTCACTGTGAATATAAAAAAACAACATGACTAAGAGCTGATTATAATTCATTTCAGGAATAATTTGCAATTTAAATGAAAAAATGAGCCCTGCTCTGCTATTAAACATTACAAGTACATTTTCAGTTTATGGTATAATGGATAAGCAACAGAGTTGTAGGCACAGTGACAGTAGGGTGAATACATAAACGCATAAAGCTGTAAACACTAAGTAATGCTCATTTGACCAGGAAAGAGCCAGAAAAAAAGACACAGACATTAAGGAAGGTGCCAATTTTCTCTCTTGATGATACTCGGGCTCCCTAGATTCTATATTTGTTCAAAGGCATTTCCTAATACCTGACAATATAATGCAATATAAAACAATAATCATGCAACAAATGCAGCATTTGCTGTATGAATAATACAAAGTGTTTAATTTTCCCTTTGGAGCTGAATCAGAGAGGTAAATTTTTGTCCATGTTGTATATTTAGTTGTGGATGACTAATACATTTGCATACTGTACCTGTGTCCAGTTCTGCTTTATTTTATTTTATTTTTACAAAAAGGATTCAATTAAAACAGCTACACTGTATGCAAACATCACTCAAACAGGAGTGCATTTGTTTGCAATGACAGATTAATACACAGCGGTTCTCTGGCGAGTATTTACAGGAGCAGGCCAGTGTATGTGGGACTGAATCTAAATAAACTACAAGGCCCATGTTCATTATAATGACACAACATGTCATCCAGTACAGTGGTGTGGCTCAGTGATGTGTTTTTAATAGTTTTTGGACAACAATGGAGCTCTGTGCCAGTGGATTCCAACATACCCCCGCAGCCCTATCACAGGAGCTCATGTACACCTTCAGTACCACCCATCATGTTCCAGAAGTGTTATGAATAGGGGGATGTCTTAATTTGTACACCTGACAATGTAACATAATCCAATATTCGTGCAATAAATGATCACATGTTCAATTTATGTTGGGGCTGTTATAGAGAGGTGTTGATTCAACTCTGTGGTAAATTTGAGGCCAAAGTTTGTGATTGAAAAAGCTCTATTATAAAGTTTGAAAAATACACTGGCATTTAAAACAATCAACCAGGATTTTTTAACCATGATAGAATACATCTAAATCAGCAGGGCACCCGGCTACAGTGGTGTAACATGGAACGTAAGTCTGAATTAGATATTTAATTAAGGTTTGGACTGGTGACTATGACCTTCCCCTGAAATACTCTAATAGAAAGGATGGAATCAGGTGAGAGCATTGATTTGGATATTCATAGTTTTTCTCATCATGGGGGCCTTGGTGTTATGAAGGTACGCAGCCTACAATCAAAAATTGACTATGTTAAAGTGTGGGTTCAACAAACAAATTTGACATTCTTGTGCTTTCAGAAACTTGGCTAACTAATAGAATAGACGATAATTCCATTGCACTTGAAGGATTCAGTGTATTTCACTGTGACAGGTCTATTTGAGGGGGAAGTGTCGAAATTTTGTGGAAAAAATGTTTCCTGTTAGTCTAGTTAATTCTGTGTCTAGAGCAAAATCTTTTGAATTTCTAGTCATAAATGTTTCTTATGTTTATCTTTAGTTCGTGTGTGTTTGATGGCTTTAATTTGTGACTTGTAATATTGTAAAGCTGATTTTATTTGATTCTGTCTATATATTTATTACTGTTTTGACGGTGATTGTATGCCAGGGCACCACTGAAAATGAGAGCTTGCTCTCAACTGGTTTTTCCCTGATTAAATAAAGGTTGATGATGATGATGATGATGATGATGATGATGATGATGATGGTATAGTGCATATTTATCCTAAAACATTCCAATTTTGGCTTAAAAATGATTAAAAGGGGTTTTAAAAAATGTCTGGGAGCCCATTCTGAGAAAGCATCATTGTGTTGTTTCTTTTAAAGGGTCAAACCGCCTTTTTCGTCTTTTGAATGGAGGGTACAAAGCTTGAAATAGCTCAGAACAAGAATATGATGTGTGCGATTGAGAGGGCAGGGGTTATTGAGTAGAGACACTCAGACTTCCAGGCAAGAATCAGCTCGCTCCTGCTGCCAGAGTAATAAAGTGCTGGCAGCTGTCCATGGTGCTGAAATCAGCTGCTATCTCTGAATAGAGGATAAAAGGAGCTGGCCATGGTGCTGAGATTCTGATGCTGCTAGGCTAATGGCATGTCTCACAACGCAACTGAGGATCAGGTGCATGCATATACAATGGGTGTTGTTTATCTATACTGCTGCTTTCCAGTGGCTCAAATGTCAGACTGTATTGAAAAATGTGTTGAATATGACTAATGCAGGCATGGAACATAGCGTACAACTCCAAGAATAGGAGATCTAATAGGGAGCAGTGGGTATTGCCAAATGTATAATGTAATACAGAACTATTCTATGTTAGGTAGATATCACATGTATGCTCATAAATCGCAACGCAATGTTTGCCACCGCAACTCAGTCTTCCACACAAGCGCGTTCTCATCATTCTTTTTGTTTGTCTGACTCCATCTATTTTTCTCTTTGGTTATCTTTCACATGCAGGTATATAAAAAAGAAAGAGTTAGAAGCAGCTCTCCTAATCTATTCTTTGACCTATAGTCTGAAAGCTGGGGTAGCTCTTAAATGTTTTTCATCCGTATCTCACTGAAGATGGACTCTGTGGTGCGTAGCTTTGAGGCAGCCCACATCATACATCTGCTAAGGGTCAATGATCATCCAACCCACGGGTGCAGAAACATAAAGTTAGATTTCCATTGGCAACAGACAGATTGCTGACCGGTTCAGAAATGGCTGGCTAAACTTTATTCCCTCCTTGTCCTCTCTAGGCTCATAGTGATTCAGTGTATGTGTATATAGACTGGCTATTCCAGAGCCAGCCTCCAACTTCATCCCCAGTGAGAGATAAGTATTGTTTGCGTAGCAGCACATTTCATGCTCGGCTTCCCCCACCTGTTCCCTGACCTGCAGAGTCTGAGGGCTGGAATAACTGTCAAATGCCTTTACCCATATCTTTCATAGGATGATTGAAAGGACGTTTTGTCTTGAGCTGTGAAAGTTTTGAAAGCTTTTTTTTTTTCAACAGAGCATAAAAACAAACTTTGGTCAAGGATTTGAAAAGGTCATTTAAAAGGGTAATGCCACATTTTTATCTGTTAATTGTAGGAGTGTAATGTGTTGTCGCCTGCAGGACTGTGGGTGAGTTCTGGCTGCATGTCAAGGTCAAACTGTTAATCAAATCTGTTAGCCTGATTTCCATAATGAACTGCTACAAATTTACCAGGGCCCGAAGACCCTTTGAACCCCCTTGGCCATCCTCTGTCCATTGACTGATTCAGCCAGTTGAAGTTTCCAGGCTTCTCAGTGTGATAATGTCTGACTGTGTCCACCAGTTATCAATCCCAAACGCAATGAGGTTTGTGTGTGCAGTGAGAGAAACAGGGAGGAGGAGCACAGCTGTAGCTGATTCACTTGGCAGGAGTCTGTTTTGTTTTGCACAGCAGTGATTTGCATTCATAGACTTGTTTTACATTTTCCAAATTGCGACTGCTAGAAGGCAACTTTGAAAGGCAAAAAGCCTGCATTCTGTAATTTATCACGTTTCTTTTGTCCTACAAAGAGACAGGACTTAAGATAAAATTCTTTAATTGTGACATGATCTGTTATTACTCCTGAGTTTTGAGGACGAACCTATTACCTAAAAATCTCAAACTATTCGATATTTCAACACCAATTCTGCTCCATGCAAGACATTCAGTTAAAAACGTAAATTAAAAAAGTTTGTTTGTTAAGGCTGCATAAAGAAGTAGAAAGAAAATGTCGAAATAAACTCCAGCAAAGTTACATTTCTCACCTATAAGAAAAGCAAAATCCCCAAAACAGTTCAAAACAGTTATTTTTGCGCCATCAGAGACGTACAGCCTCCAACACCAGAGAAACATAGCAAGATCAGAGAAAAGCACCAAAACGAAAAGCACACCAAAACAAGCCATGACCGCCAGAAAATAAGCAAAAGGTGAGTATTATATCAAGTGAGTTCGCAAGGAAGCTGCTTCGGGAAGAGGAAGAGAGAGAGGAGGAAAAAACATCAAGAGCGTCCGCAAGCACGTAGGGCTATTTCTCCGTGGATGTCGCCGGAGCACCAACACTCAGCATCCAAGATTTAAATCATTGCATGCAGAAAACGAGAAAACATTTTCCCCACGTCGGAACACCAAGACAAGAGAGGAAGAAAAAGGGGATAAAAAGATGCTTAACAAAATGTCAGTGGAATAGTACTCACCGAGCGAGAGTAAAAGGTTTCAATTTAAAAGAAATGGGCGTATAGCGGCGGAGGATTGGTGGGATGCAGGCTTGTGTATACCGAGGCTCTGCGTCCCTTTTGCGCTCTCGATCCCTGCCGGCGGTTGAGTCATGTGACTTGGGGTTGGCCGGAGTTTTTGAATCAGTCCAAGCTTTTCTGTAGTAGCTACACACGCTATTGAGTGCGGCAATAAATAGCATCTTTTCGAGTAACTGATCGAATCATTGATTTTCTGCCCGGTGTTATTCAAGTTTCTCAAAATAGAGTCCGGGTACTACGATGGGTCACTGATGTACCACGAGGGTCCGAACGGGAAAATGAAGTTTGTTTTTGCCAGTTACGCTGGTGTAAATGCATGTCAGCATATTTGATGATAAATGTCACTCTTTACACAGAGGTTATCTCCACATGCAAGTGAAGAAAATTCAAATTAATAAATATAGATCAAATATGTTTCCTCCTAAATGTATTCCTATCAAAAGGGATCTATAATTTAATTTGACAATTTCTTGAGTGCTTGGTATAGAAAGGTTTTATGATTCCTGCTCTATTTGGTCAGTGTATTTAGTATTAAACTTATATTAGTTCAAGGCACAGTTGCAAATAAACCACAAGCAGTTTAAAGTTCCTGCTGGTATATGTAGATAGGCCTATTATATGTGAAATAGTGGTCCCCATCTTGAGGGCTTTTATTATTCATATCTTGCAAACCCTGACAAAACAAAAACAGTGTCTGTCATGAAAATTATCCGACAATGAAAAGTGAGTTTCTTCTTATATTTTCATTTGTAGAGGAAATTAACCAAATATTACCTCCAAAAAGTTCTTATAAATCTTACAAATAAGTTTAGCTAAACTAGTGCTTTGTTTAAAGCTTGTCTGACTGCATGTTTCTAATCCCATCAGGTTCACCACAGTCTAAAACCTTGTTGAGAACATTTTTCAAATGAGAGAAATGATGGACACAACTACAAAAATCAGAACCAAGGTTACATATATATTAAACTGGAATTGTCTTACATTACCACTACATTTGCAAAAATAAAAAAAATATCTTGTTGTAACAAAGTTGTTTTTCATTCAGTTGCACCTTGCAGATTTTATTTACAAAGATTTGTTTCCCTTTGCTCATTATCATCTTTGCTGGAAGCTGCTTTCATCCAGAAAATGGTTACAAAAGTTTTCCATTGAGCATCAATTCAACAACTCCAACTATGTGTTGCATTCTCATTAAAAACTACTTAATGGATTAATCAACTGAGTTTCTTTCAAGCCTTATGAGAATATCGATCATCAAGGAGGACGTTAACACTCGGGGCTCTGAGTTAAAAGCTCATTTAACATCAAAAAATGACACACCTGAAGCCCACAGGTGAGAGGCAATACTGACTGGGCAGCTTCAAAAACATTAAGGTAACTCCAGGACATAAAAGATTCAGTGTCTTTTGGTCTAGAAAACTGAAGACTCCAGCCTGGCTTGTCATCATGTTTCATTTGATCCTGCTTTATAAGGATGATAGCCCTGGGGTTCCTACTCATTCTTGACGGAAACACAAACGGTCATGCTGTCAGGGCGGAACAGAAATCTTTGCTGTTGATGCAGCGTCTACCGGGCATATGAGCAAAGGGTCTGTATGGATCAGTGACTTCTCAAGGGGCTGATAAGCAGAGACAGACAGAGTCCTACCAAGCCTTCTTTATTTTCTTTTACAAGGATGAATTGCTTGATGGATTCTGGCAAACATCATAGAAGCAGTGTTTATCAAATATACTGTTGAGCTCTTGTGAAATTATAAGGTGTGATTTAGTGTGATAAAATCTCAGGATATGTTAAAATGTTGATTGATTTTTTTTTTACAGATAAATAATAAGGAAGCAAATTCACTTATTCACTACTTCAATATTCCTCACTATTTTGAGTCCTAACAATCAGTGACTTCAGTTATTACAAAGGTATTTGCTAACCAGAGATTCGCACCTCGCTGACATTTTCTACAAAACAAACAAAAAACGTGGTTGCTAGAAATCACAGTCCCCTCAAAAGCAGTTATGTATAGTAGCATGACAAGATAACATCACTCCAAAAATGACAGTTTTGGAAACAATATAAGAAACTTACCTGCTAAACCTTTATAGATGTGTCTTTGTTGTATACAAACATGAGGAAACATCACACAGAATGAGTGACATAAGTAAAAGTAGCAATACCACAGTGTAAAAATACTCTATTACAAGTAAAAAAAAATCCTGCAGTCAAAATGTTACTTAAGTATAAGTATTAGCATAAACATGTACTTAAAGTTTGGACAATAAAAGTACTCATTATGCAGAATGGCACATTTCACATTCATGACCTATATCATATTATTGTGTACAGTACATCAAATTTAATGTTGCAGCTGGTAAAGGTGGAGCTCATATTAACTACTTATAATAACCCATAATTTGAAGTACTTTACATACTGCTGGGTGGCTGGTGAGTCTTATGATTATAATGTATTTTATTTTATTCATTTAATCCTGAAAAGTAACTAGTACCTAAAGTTATCAAATAAATGTGGAGAAGTTGAAGTATAAAGTAGCAGAAAATGAAAATATTTATGCTAAGTACAGATACTGCAAAACTGTACTTAAGTATAGTACTTGAGTAAATGTACTTTCTTACTTTCGCCTGAAATGTCATCAACTATAAAAATCATGCTGAGGCTGATTTCAGCACAGTATGGTATCACCATCAGCTCTGTTATGAGGAAATGTTGCCTTCTGTTCCTACAGCAAGCACATCTGAAATGTCCAGGACTTCACCACAGCTCAAACCTAAAAAAGAACCAGAGGATCATACCACCGCTCTCTGGTCACACACACAAATCTCAGAGCAGATGCCATTCCAGCACAGTGTGAGCAAGGATTTCTGTATCCGCTCATCTCTATGCACCTCCTTCCCTTCCAGTACACATGATAATTCTCTGGCTGGGATCCCAAGCTCTGTGCGAACAGCCCAACAGTATCTGATATACAGCTCTACTCTGGCCGACACTCCCAGTTCCGAGCCATGCTTCTGCAGGACAAATAGGGGGTGCCAGACAAGATGTGTGTATGTTAGCAGGCCAAGTCCTCATAACACCTGATAGGCTGGATTTATTCTGAGCCTCAGGTCGAGACATGTGTCTGCACTTTGGCAGAGCAAGAGCTGTAATTATAGCGGGGAAACGGGACATGTAATGCAACGTTAATGGCAAAGGGACTGACGCTTCGCCCACAATGTCCTCTTTTCAAACATGAATAGTGCATTAACAGCAGGGATTCACGATGCTCAAACTGATTGGAGCTATTAAATACAATTTAGGACATGCAGAAAGGGAAGTGAAAGCTGGTGGCTGAGTGGTGTATATATGTAGACCAAATAAGCTTTGTCCTGGTTTAATGCTGCCAGTATTATTCAAGGTCCTCTGGGGGGTGGGGGGGAGGGGGGGTGCATGTTAATGGCGTCTAAATTACAGCTCTGAGGAAATTTTGAGTGTTTGTCCTCTCCTGCTTTTTTTTCTCCACTGTTGCTTTTTTTATTCTGTTTTGCTCATACCCCATTTTTCAGGCATTTCTTTATATATGTTACCATGTCTCAAAGAATTGAAGAAAAGCAATGTGGGTGTCTGCGAGATTCATGAACACACTATTTGTGCTGATTACTCAAAATAATGGTTAGACAAAAGGTCATGTATGGATACAGTCTATGTATTTGAGAGTCCGTGCATTTTGTCTGCTTGCATGTCTGAGAGCCACAGCCTGTGTCAGTGCATGTGCAGATCATGTTTTTCAGTGCACCTGCCAGCAACTGCATGTGACTGATGAAGCATAACCTTTTAATGTGTTTACACATTGACATTTCCCAAGATCTGTCACGTTCCTCTGTGAAACTAGAACCCTTGACATTCTTTAGGCTCACGTTTGCCTGAGCTGCTGGCTCTGTCAGCTTTCATACCATGCAAAGCTGACAACAACAACATAATTACATCAGATTCACTACCTCATCTGCCCCCTGTCATGCATGAAATCAAGCTTCTGTTTTTGCTTTAAAACTAAGTCCTCTGCCCACTGTCTGGATGTGATATAACCTGGACATCTCATGATCCTGCGCCATGTGAATATTTGATATCCTGGTCATCTTCCACTTACAGAGTACTTTCCAAAGTAATCTAGATTTCATAGTTATGTATATATTTGAAAGAAAGACTTTCTAATGTATTTCTGATTTATTCTCTCTTCTCTGTGTGTCCATCAAGCTTCACCAACCTAGTTGCACTAAAATTGAAGTGCAATATTGACTTTTTAAAATGAGACATCAAGCCCATGATACTGGCTCTTAAATGAGCCCTGACACCTCAGTGACTCTGGGTTTTAGTCCATCTGGTCATCAGGCTTCTCCATATGCCCACCCATGTGTTTTGGGTCTCCATATTGCACTGTGAAGTAAACTGGCAAACTCATCCTCAAAAAATTCATAATATTTTAACCCATGTGAACTTAAGATCAACTGTGAAAATGGAATTAAACTTTAAAACGCCAAGCAATGACCTCTTGCTTACATTAATATTAATACTGTATAGACTTTGGATTTTAAAGCTGCATTAACTGATTTTTTATACATTTATATTCAGGGATGTACGCAAACACTCTGAGGGGCTGTTGTGCTAACCAAAAAAAAAGGCCACACACCTCAATTTTAGGTGTCACAAATCAGGAGGTATTTGAATTGTATAAATATGGTCCTTTAACTAACCACAAATATGTTTTATATTTATAAATTATCAACTTTATTTATGCTGCCAACTCACACAACTATGCACCATTTCATATTTCAAATAACTACATTACCTTTTGGCTCACCATCTGTTCAAATAGAGAGAATGTTTAAAAAAAATCTTCTAGTATAATTCTTCACAACTTCCATAATTTACCTTTAGGAATATCATTCTCCACAGTATCTAACTTTGGGATGGCCCATGGAGGCCATGCATGGCCCATAACACCCTCATATAAGTGGCCTACCTGTCTGACGTGTGTCCCGATGCTCATCAGGGTCTCACTCAGACTCTGATCTGGATAGAAATAGAATTATTAGAATCAGAATTAAGAATAGCATTGTACACAACATACTCTGTTAAAACTTGCATGGGCATGGATGTGTTGCTGACAGTGGCCTGACTCAATGATTTCTGGTGAAGCCGA